CTGTGCAATTTATAAGAGAGTCTATTTGTTATCCATTTGCTGTGTGGTTGATTTTTAATATCAAAGCCTAAAATTGTTCAAATTAAATTCCATTTATAAGCATAAACATTTGCTTAAAGTGAATTTGATGCCAACTGCCGAAAAAGCTAAAATTTAGCATTGACTCGACTCGAACATTGAATGCGAACCCAAAGAGATATCAATTTAACAAGAGAGCCTACGCTCGACCTTTTGCATCGTTCGAAACGTGTTAAATCAACAGTCGAAGTACGTGCTAGACTAGCTAATCCAAACTTGATTTGTGTACAGACAAAGTTAAATTTTTACATTCCTTTTATTTCATTTTATTTTGTATCTATTCTGTCTCTAGCTGAAATTCCATGAAATATTTACACCTCACTCTTCAACACAACACAAACACTCTGCACAACAGTCTCAGTGTGTCAACACAATCTGCATAATAACTGAGGGCCCCACTCACACAGCTGCAATAATAGTGGATTAAACTGAGACATGTGTGAGATGGCAGCGGTGAAAGTTTTGGACCCACATGAATAAATAACCGAACTGGTTACACTGAACGATTCCGGAACTTAGCCCAGAGCTTGTATATACAAATTGGCCAACTAGGTATACTTACTAGTATATACATATGCATATGCTTAAATATTGAAATGCGCAATGTGCTGCTTGTCAAATGTAGTTAATTGAAAAAGTTAAGCTGTTACGCAAAAGTAATTTACGAATTGACATTTTATCAACACTTTCTGGTACAAGGTAGTCAATATAATCGGCTTTGTTGCCATTGCAGGCAAAGTAATTTATTGAACGGAAATGGTTTGCCAATGAAGTTTCATAGCCAGATGAAAGAGGAAACGGAAACGTGAAGCTCGCTGCAAATTGACAGAGCGGGCGAAGAAAGTGGTCAGTGCTAATCAAGACAGCAGGAGCAGCAGCAGCAGCAGCAGCAGCATGACCAGGAAATGAATAATAAGGAAACTGTGAAATGAACATCTAAATTCTGAAATATGCAACGTAATTGCAACAGCAGCAGCAGCTGGAGCAGCAGCTGGAGCAGCAGCAGGAGCAGCGCATCATGGGAGGCCAACATGCTTATATTTCAATTGTGCCCGCGCTGCTTGGCAAATTTTCTAAATTAATAACTATAATTTATGCGGTAAAAACTACAGAAACTCGTTATAAATTCAGCAAAGTTTGTACATGGAAAACAACAATAATAACAACAACAATAACAACAAACAATAACGAGCTGCATTCAAGTTCTTATGCGACAATTCTCAGCAGCCGTGCCATGCCCCATGTCCATGGGGTAGAACAATAAGTTTTGCATGTCAGCCTAAGCAGCCCTCGGCGTCCCCTCATTGAGCTTAGCATACTTCATGGCTGTGCGGTAAATTTATTTATGCCACATGCCTTGGCAAAAAGTGAAAGAGTCGAGTTATTAATATTTTTTTTCGTCAATGCTGCCGCATTAACACGCAAATGTGGCAGCAACAGCTGACAAGTACAACATTTCTCTTGTTATGTGCCGGAAAACTTGCCGAGCGAGTGGGTCTGATTGTGCTCGAGCTTAGACCGGAGCCGCACAGCGTTGCGAAAATTCGACAGCTATGGCAGATGTGCCACAAAATGCAAAGTAACCAAGCAGCCACAAGTTACGCATGCCAAAGTGTGCTCCACTGGCAACTTATTATCAAATTCCAATAGAGAGTGCTCAAAACTTTTAAACGGAATATCTTCGACTAGAGTATGCGCCATAAGCAAACTATTTGAATGGATGTCGAGAAGACTTGCTAGAATATAAGCTCGTTATTCATTATGTTTAAAGTAAAGTTCAGGTATAATATTGCTGTTAGAAATTCCAAATATTTGTACAGGGGCGAAGGTTGTCGACGATGATGAGGTGATGCATACCAAGATACCTTTGAAGATGGCACGTAGACGAGCGATCAAAATAAAGTTACAATCTACAAATGAATATTTGATTAATTTATAAATTATGATAGAGTATTCTGATTTCTGAATGCACTCACTGACGCAAATTTTTTCTCGTCAAGTTAAATATAATACAAAATTAAATAAAAATAAAA